AAAAAAAAATTGTTTAGATTTTTTAAGGATTCTTCCTTAAAATTATGACAATGTGCTTCAAGATAAAAAATTTCTTTGCCTTTAACAGTGGCAGATAAAATTGGAGGTTCTAGTGTACCATTTTCAGTTGCTTTCTGGAATTTTTATTCTATTTCACGAAATGTATGAAAAATGTATTATTTTGAAATGATATGCACAAACCAATTCAAATGTGCCCACATGAAAACACCATGAACAAAAATTCTGGAAGATTTTGATAGTGTTAGCTTAATAAAATGAAGAAGTGAGGGGCAAAGTTAAGCTGACAGTGACTTAATTACATATTTGCAATGCTTGAATCCAGCGCTTTTGATTCCAAGAGGTCAAATCATTAGCATTGAGTCAAATTCTATCCTCTTTTCTTTCAACTTGTTTGAACCTGCATAAATTGGCTTCTAAGAATCTTGTTCGTCAATGAAATCATTATGATTCCTAACTCGTCATTTTGGATTTGTCTAATACCTCATATAATCTTCAATTTCAAAGTTTAAATACTCTCTTTCTCTCCTGTGTGCATGAATATAGGCCACGTGTACAATTTTGTGTGCTCTCATATCTTGATTGCATAATGAATGAGTGAACTTTACATGTTTTTCTTTTGTGATGTATGTACTATGCTGCTTGTTTACCATTATCTTCTATTCTTATAACTTTCATTTTATTAATCTTTGTTTCAACAAATAATTTCATATTTTTAATTTTTTTGATACTTGGATTTGTTGGTACATTGACTTCTTTACAATTTCAGTCCCCCAATATATTGTTCTAGGTCTGCCTCTGTTCATACAGCCACCCTACTGCCAACCTGTCTATCACAGTTCGAGATTTCCAGTACAACTCTCATTCAAAAACTCGAGACACATCAAAATAACACCGCTGCCCAAATGAGAATGAGACAAAGGAAGGTCTCTACAAAAGCATCTGACGATGATGAAAATAACGAGAAATTCACCGCAACAAACTATCTACCCAAGAACTTTTCACCATCACTGAAGAAAATCTTTGTGCTATGTTTGGTTACACGAATGATCAACTCATTATTAGTTCAAACATATTTCAACCCAGATGAGCATTGGCAAGCTCTTGAAGTAGGGCATCGCATCGCTTTCGGGTACACTTTCAATCAAAAGTTAAATTTTCCTAATGTGGTTTCCCTTTTTTTTCCTTTTTTTCCCCTTTCTTTTCTGAGTTTTGAAATGGATTTTATTATTATTATTATTTTCTATATTGGATGTAGGTATGGGCATCTGACATGGGAATGGAAAAAGGGTATAAGGACTTACTTGCATCCGGTGCTGTTTGCAGCTCTTTATAAAGTTCTGGCCTTTTCCCTTCTTGATACCCCTTGGTTCATGGTAATTCTGCTTTCTCTTTAGAGGGCATGCGTGTTCTTTTGGAATTTATATTTCCTCTTAGTTTTTGTTACTATATGCGCATTTGAACTTTTCTATCCAATTGGGTAACTCCGCATTGAATTTTGCCGATTTCAAACTTTGCATATTGTGCATTGGTGCATGAATGGGGTTGCATAGGGTAATTCTCCCATGCATTTGAAACTTTACCTAAATATGATTCTAAAATTTACATTTTCAGGTATAAAGTTGTTAACTTCAATATAAACTGTTAGTAAATATGGGATTGGTTTTAAAAATATTTGCCTATTTCTAGTTGGTAAAGCAGTCAGCGAGTCTGTTGATCAT